TCAATTTTTAGTGTAACGATTTTAGAAAAAAGTATCATCTTATACATGGAAAAATACGGTAATTTTGTTTTTAAAAATATATAAATTCCATACAGTACTGGATTTTCTTAGCATAAAATGTAGATTTTAAGTGCAACTTGTCAAGAGTTAAAGGATGTGTGCAAATCATATGTTCAAGAGGGTATATTATATCATCATCATCAACATCATCATTTTATAGCACTTCCTGTAGGAAAGCTTCTCAAAGCAATTTAGAAAATGTGCAATGCATAATAAATACAGTAAGTTAAAAATAATATAGAAACATAGACATTTAAAAAAGGAGAGGGGAAAGGAAAATAAAAGAAGAACAGAAATTCAAAAGCACTCATCCAACATTCATAAACCCTGGTTGGAGAAGTGAAGTCTTCAGCAGGTGCCTAAAAGAACCTCATGAACTTCAGAGGAGGGACCATCCCAAAGCATAGGTGTTATCACAGAGAAAGTTTGCCTGCAACTAGGTACGAGATGGCATTCTGCAGTTCTGGGCGCACCCAGCAAGATTACACCTACCCATTTTGACAATCAAGCAGGTGAAGGCAATATCCAGATATTATGTTTATGGCCTATTGTGTCATAATTGTAATGTGGCTTAATAGTTAATTGGCAGCCGTTGAAATGCTTCAACAAAGATGTATCATGATACTGCCAGGCCTCCCACTGTTTGCCACATTTTCTCCTCCACTCCAGCAAGAGAAAATGAACCCCTAAGACCCAATTTCAGCAGTTGGTGGTTTTGCCATGATTGGGATGGTGTGTGGATGGCTCCATCACCAGGCAGGCCACCTTCCTCCCCCATCTGAAATAAAAACTAAATAGAACATTTGCTCTACTTACACAGTTTGGAACAGGGACATGATAGCCATGAAATCCCAGGCTGGCCCTAGTTCAGCAACAATATGCCAAGTTAAAGCCCTCAAGGCTAATGTAGTTCTGAATGTTGGGGTTATGTTGGGATGGCATTAAGGGTCAGAGAAACTCTATCTTCCCCCTGGATCCCATTGGCTGGCCTGATGCTGCACTAAGAAACCACATAGCAGAACTAGATCAAAATCAAACTCTCTCATCCTCCATCCAGGTTTCTGTAATACCCTTTAGGGCAACTTCTTTCACAATCAAGTTGTCAATGAGATAGTAATGAGAGTTACTGATATAGCAATCAGTTCAGCAGAAAGAATGGATCAGAGATCATACCACTAAGAACGTTTATGAAAAATCTTTTTTGTACAATCTGATTTTTTAACTAATTAATGTGGGTATTTATTTTTTTAATTGTTTTTGGGTTTTACTCTGACTGTGAGCCACCCAGAGTCATCCGCTGAGGGAGATGGGTGGCACACAAATTTAATAAATAAATACCACTAAGAACTTGGCTAGAGGGTTGATGAACTACAGCTTTAGACGTTTCCTCCCACTCATTTGCTTCCCTCTTTTTCCATGAGTTAGAATTAAGATAAGACCATTCCAAAGTCAATAAAAAAGAGGAACAAGGAGACATTTTGTAAATAAGTATATTACTTGTCCATGACCATTTAAAAAAGTTTTAATGGGTATCCCCAAATAAAAGGAGCAGTAAAGTATTCTAAGATACTTCTTTGCAATAATAAGTTACTCTAAAAATATACTGTAAGAAAACAAAGTTGAATTTAGGGCAAGTGAGGTGTTAATGAGCCTCTTGGCCCTCTGAATTTATAAAAGAGGACACAAAAGAAGGAAAAGAATGGAGATACAGTAACGTTTAAAAGGCAGTTCTTGTAAGGGTCAGATGTGTGTGTCAAATCCTCATCAAACTGCAAGTACTTATCCCTATGTCCCCCAAATGAGGCACAACCATGTCCCTGTAAGCACTTTTTATATGATGTGTCACCATGACACTGCCTTTGTCTCATCCCCAGCCCATGCATGAGTCAGCTAAAATTTGTTTTTAGCTTTTCCAGTTTTAATGCATTGGCTTCCTTCTCCTGCCACCGTCTTTTGCAGTGGACACAGTCTAACATGCTTCACACCACATCAGTGAGGTGGTTGATCTTCTAGGCTCCAACAGACCACTTTAGGCTGCTGCAAGGAAGACCTCTCCATTCTAGTTGCTGGGCTCCATGCTTCATGGCCCTTCTGCCTGGGGTGTAGGATTGACCAGGTGCCTGACTTCTGCTGACATCTGCCAATTTCCAAGCCCTTTGTCTCTCTCTGGCTTTAGGGAGAAGTTGCAATTCTGTCCTGATATCCAGAGAAAATAGGGTAGCTAAGCAGAATCACAACTAACTGTTGTTTGTGTGCATGTGTGTGTTCGTTAACAGTTTTCATGAAATGGCCATATACGATCTCCCAGCAACTATAGCCTTCATTCTGCAGAAAACAAAGCAAAACAGATTATATTACTTTGGCCATGCCCAGGGCGGAACAATAGGTAAGTTAAGAATGGACATATGTATTCTTGCCACAATGTGATGAGAAAATAAAAATACTGTATAGCATTTTCTCCTTTCAAGCAATCTTGCAGATTAGACAGGAAGACAATCCTGTTTTGTTTGTGTTGTTTTTGTTTTTGGCCCTATCATCCTATGCCCAGACTTCTATTGATCTTGCTGTGGGGGATTCAGAAGCTAGGTTGTTAAGAGCTTACTGTTAGGTTATTTATTTAACACTACAGAGAGGTGTAGATTGCAAGCAGTCTGCCCCAGTTAGGTAATCTATGTTTGTCTCAGTTCAGCTCAAGTGAATTATTCTACTTCTGCAAAACTACAGCCAAGCTACTTGGATTAGTTGCTTTTGTTTGACAGAAATGCCTTTTGGGCATGTACTGTTCATGTGCAGAAGCCACTTCTGATGAGTGAAGGGAAACCTTGCAGCCTAATCAGTTGGAAGTAGGGCACTGCAGCCCTTCCCAGAGGGACTTCAAAGATGTTCCTTTGAAGACCTCAGAGCCATAATGTGGAGTTCTGTCAGTGAATGTCACATCTCACTCCACCCTACCACCAGTTTTTCTCTAAGGCCCTTTCTTCATTAGCTAGTCTTTAGCAAATTAAAGAATTGTGTCTCTATTAATTCAGTTGAAGTTTCTTCTAAACCCTGCATTTGTCTACTTGTTTTTCATTATGCTTGCTTAGATCTTACAGTACAGTGAAGCTATCAGTACATGATGTAACATGGGGTTTTTAATTTTTGGCTAGCTTGTTGTAGAACCTGACATGATGAAGGTTGAGAGGGTCACGAGCTGACATCTGTGCCTAAGGGAAGACTAGGTCTCCCTACTCCTAGTCCAGCACCTTAACCACTACATCACTATATTACACTGACTCTCAAATTCAGCTGATTTCTATGCTTCATAATTCGTGCTAAGGGAAGAAAATACCTCATTGTCACAGCTAACCCACCAAAAGGAATGTTAGCATTTCTCTGAGCAACATGATCTGGTCTTGTTTGACTAACAGTATGAAAATAAAAGATTTTATTTTTTAAATGTATTGGCAGAAGAGTCACATTCTTCTCTTACAAAAGCTCAGATTATGCAGTCTGTTTTTAACTGGATTGAAAACTGTCAGAAACTCACTGGTGATACCTGACTTATTTATTTATTTAATCCATTTATATACCGGCCATCTCAGACCAGTGACTCTGGGCGGCTAACAATAATAAAAACAGTCAACACTTAAAACAGTACAAAAATATAAATATAAATACAGCCAAGAGATCTTAACAAAACGTTGGTATCAGCACAACCATGAAAACAGGGGCCTTCACATGCTCGGGGCCTGAGGCCCGGGCATAAAGCCAGGTCTTCAAGGCCTTCCAAAAAGCCAAAAGGGTCAGGACTATCCTAATCTCAGGAGGGAGGATGTTCCAGAGGGCAGGCGCCACAGCGGGAAAGGCACATCTCCTGGTCCCTGCCAGCCGACATTCTTTGGCTGATGGGACCCAGAGCATGCCCATTCTGCTGGACCAGATTGGATGGGTAGAAACAACTGGGACTTACCATAGGGAAGGACAAATCCAACCTTTATTTGTTTCAGTTGTTTGAAAACAAATGCTGTTCTAACTATTCACTCACCCTGTCCTTGCCTTTACATGTAGGGAGGGAGGAATAACAACATTGAGATGGAAAGAAGAAAGAATTTCTTTAGGTATTCAAAAGGAGTTTGGTATCACCTTTTCCAGATAACAACTTTGATTAAAAGGCATGAGTTTGTGAGCTGAAGCTCACTTCATTAGATGCATAAGAGTGGCTAGACTGATATAGAATTTAAGTTGGGGTGCAGTTGGGTGGGAAAGGAAAGGAAGGCAGGTTGGTTATACAGATATGAAACAGATTACAGGCACCTTATTCATTAACTTTTGTAATGTGTTAAAAACCCATTTTGTTTGTTGAGATGTTCTGAGATCGCCTAAACCCTTTGATGTACAATATGGAAATTCAGTAATCTCTTGCTCACTAGTGCTGTTAAAGTCTTATTTTTCCAAAATGGTCATTCTGAGATCTTCAGTAGAGTGTCCTGGCAGATTAAAATGCTCTGATATTATTTTGTTTTGAGTCCTGATGTCAAATTTGTATCCTTAATTTTTTTCTGAAAAGTTTGGCTTGTTTGTCCTACATAGAATCCAGAGGGGCATTACTGGCAGATGAAGGCATGTATCACATTAGAGGAACAGCATGTGGAGGTGCCTCTAATCTTGTATATTTACTTGATGCTGCGGTTGACATAGATATGGGGGCAAAGTAGACTTCTTGGTTTGTCACAGGATCTAGTTTCCACATTAGCATCATTGCCTGGTTGTTTCTTGTTGCTTGTGAGAATCTGCTTCTGGTTAGATGACTGTCTGTATGTAAGTATGGTCCAGCCACCCAGTGCCTGAGAAAGTTCAATTTAGTTTCATTGTGCAGTAAGGGTTGTAGCTTATTAATAATGTGTTTGAGTGGTTTGAGCTGTACGCTTTAGGGAACAACCAGTGGTGTTCTGTCATTCTGTTTCTGTGCTCTGTCTTTTAATCTGCCCTCCCTGGGAATTGATCTGTTTCTATTGACTTATCTATTGATCTTGTTGGATAGGTAGTTCAATCTCCTGAATGCCTGGTTTAATTCCACCAGTTGAGCATCTCTGTCAGGAGGGTTAGAACCTGGCAATCGATGATAGATTTGGTGGTTTGCTCTGGGTAGAAGCTGGAAGGGTAACAGAGCTACAATTGCTGTATTATGTGAACATAACTGGGGGTGCGTGGGTGTCTTTTGCTTTTGAAATAAAATGCCCCATGTGTATTTGTAATAGCAAAAGGTTCTATTCCTACAGTCAACAGTATTGGAAGGGTCAAGTGGTCATGTAGTGTTACATGGTCACATACTCATTCCAAGTAGTTTTAGAGGAAAAGAAGGCTCTCTATGAGTATCAACCCTTAACACACGCTCTTGTTTTGAAAGAAACAGATCCCCCAGCCAGTCATGCATTTTATAAGGGTCACACAAATTCTGCCCTTAGCCTGTGAATTTTTAAGTGAATTTTAAAGAACTTTCCTTCTTCACAGGAAGCAAAGAGTATCTTGAAAATACAGTGCAGGATTCAGCCCAGCACTAAAACTAAAGAGAAATAAAAGTTGTAGTGGTCCAGACAGCAGTGCAGGCATTGGTCATTGTGCAGTTTTAAAGCTGAATTCTTCCTCTCTTTTTGCAGGATTTATTGCCTTTTCGCTCCTGCCCCAGCTTGCTCAAAAAGTGAAGCTTTTTCTGTGTTTTACTCCCACTTACACATTGATGGGTATTAGAGGGCTTCCCAGAGTACTGGGGAAAGTTCCCAATGGACTCAGAAAAGTGAGTATATCTCATGTTTTTATTAGTGTATTAAACTCATTTTTTCATACAGAAGTTTAGAAACAGCCAGCCCTCTTTTGCTCAGGTTTTGGGGAAAAAATGTGAGGACGCTTTGTGCATTCAGTGAGATTTATTTATCAGTAATTTTAGCTTAGGCTGTGTTTTTTTTTTTTAATAGAAAAACTGATTAATTTTAACTAATTTTTAAATTATCTATAAAGGGTCTCTTACCACCCAAGTATTACTAAAGGGGTTAAATGTGTTAGACTCTTGTTTGGGCTGATACAGCCTGGATACTTTAGAACACAGTGTTTCTCAACCCTGGCAACTTTAAGGTGTGTGGGCTTCAACTTGTCTGGGCAATTCTGAACGTTGAAGTCCACATATCTTAAACAGCTTTAGAACAAGAATATTTTTTTTTTCAGAAGCAGCAGAGTTGCATGTATCTCAGTTAAGACTTTTGCAGAAAAAAGTTGGCTTGAAAATTCACATGGATATTGCTACATCTTTTCCCTCATATAAACACTTTGGACTCATTTTGAGCAGCACACCCTTTGCTTGCAATTCCCCCTTAACAGAAAACATTTTGTAAAGCCCTTTTGGAAGTGTGCATGAAATGGGGAAAATATTTTGTTTCAAACCTGCAACAACCCGTTGTGTTCCAAGGGTTTTGAGTCAGTTCTGAACTGGTGGGGGTCAACCATGATTCAGTAGAACCCCAAATGATTTGGTTGGTCAGAGTTTCAGACAAAACAAAATCCAGATGGGCCAAGTAGGGTAAAATCTATGTGTGTCATCCACTCTTTCCCCTTAGCATATTCCACAGGCCCATCCTACCTCAGTCTTCTTCATGCCTTCCCTTTCTGCTGCTGCTACTGCCTCCATGCTAATAGCCCAATGCATCATACCCCACTAGCCTATCTACCACCACCCAATATTCCCAGCACACCGCCCTCCCTAGCTGCCATTGCTGACAATGTCCTAACATGACATATCCCACTGGTTTGTCTGCCGCCTGGTTTTCTTAGCACCTCCCTTCCTTGTCCTCAGCCACTAACAGTATTCCAGTGAGGCAAATCCCGTGAGTTTATCTGCCCCCTTCTTTCCAGCTTTCCTTCCTTGCCTCTCCTCTGCTGCTGATCTCCTTTTTCCTCACTACCTCTATCCAGAACATGACAGCCCCATTTTGACCCTAAACCAACTACTCTATGCATGGAATGTTTTGTATCTGGAAAGTCTTGCACGTCCCTTTCTTTAATATACCCATTTAACTCTATATTTATTAAATAGTAACCATATTATACATTTCTGAAAAATGTGGATTTTTGTAGATATATACTCCTGTAAATGCTGAGGTTATGATCCAGTACAGTACAGTACAGTACAGTACAGAGCACCCTAGAGGAAGTGGATTATCTGGACCCCCTTCAGTCAGGGTTCAGGGCTGGATATGGGTTGGAGTTGGCACAGATAACCTTTGTTGGGATCTGGATCTGGGAAGTGTGTCCATTCTGATCCTTTTAGATCTCTCAATACCATCAACTGTGGTATCCTTCTGGACCACCTGAGGGGGTTGGTGACTGAAGAGACTTAACGCTTGTGTTAAATGTATACATGTGAATGTGCATGGATTTATAAACCATGAAGGAACTTGGACTCAGCAAATGCACCATGTGCAACAGGGCAGACACATATTGACAAAGGAGGAAAACTTAATATTTGTGTATGTTTATTTTACAGCTTTTATGGGGTAAGAAGGAATATTGTCTTTTAGGTAACAAATTAAAAGCCTTCATGGCCTATGCCTGCAGCCATGCCATCTTCGATAAGCTTTGCCTTCAAGGTATTTTCTTTATGGGAGGACATAATAAAAAAAACCTAAATGTAGTAAGTAAGCTGTATTTTTATTTATACTTTTTATAGAGGAGGTGGGAGAGGAAGAGGGAAGAAAAAAAACAGATTAACCCATCCAAACAACAACAATATATATCTCACATCTGTTTTTGTTGTTGTTGTTGCTATAGGACACATTTTTCCCTATATGTGTATAATACATTTTGAACAGCCTCCCTCCTTTAATTACTAATTAATCAATCAATCAATCCTGAAATAGTTGTTTTCTCAGAATGTTAACTGAACAAACATTGAGTGAAATCTGACTCTTAGAAACCTGTTCTGAATTTGTGTCTGTAGCACCAGAACTGTATAAATAGAGTGCTTATGTCAACAACTCAATATGAAATGATATTGTTGATTCATATTTGGGGATGAAAAAATCAAGAGGATTCTGATAGGACAGGAAGGTCTGCTCCAACAATAACAGTAGATATTGCTTTAGATTCAGTGTTTGAAATTCCCACTTTCTTTACCAAGAGTTTTCACTGAATATTGTCTAGAGAAAAAGTAAATTAAGAATAGGTACAGAAAAATTAAATGTAGTAATAGGCTGGCCAAATCTGAGCAGGTTGAATCTAGTATCTGGAAAGTTGTATTGTTGTTGTGTCATTGTGGTTATTTAGATTTACTTCTTGTCTTTTCTCCAGGACTTTAAAGTAGGCGTATAACACTACTTCCTCCAGTTTTCCCACAAAAATAATCCCTGTGTAATAGCCTGGGTAAGAAAGTGACTGAACTAAACCATGAGCTACCATGGCTGCAGGTGAACTTGATCTGGAGTTCCCTCAGACCCAGGCTAGCATCCAGCCACACTGGCGTTTCTTCTGTGTAAATGCTTCCATTATATCATGAGCAACAGCATCTCTGGGGGGGGGGGTGTTGTATAAAAAAAGTCAGGTGATCAAAGCTCCAACTCTATACCACATGCAAGGCACATAAACAAGAAACAGAGCTTTCATCGCACACCGGGAGCCACTATCTTGACTTTTTCAACCTCCCACCCCCTGTGGATGTCCCTGTTTGTAAGGCTTATAATCCCCCCCCTTTTTTTTGGCATCACCTAAATCTTGCAGGAATGTGCTACCAAAATTCTGTCACAAATCACTTGGGTGGTTCATTTTTTCACTTTTTTCTGTGCCTAAATGCCTAAAATAACCCTTCCATAAACCCTGCATGTATTCATCAGCTCTACAGTAGAAATTCAGACCACCTTCATTCAAATATATTACATACAAACCACCTCTTTTTCCTAGTTTTGCAAACCTACATATCTATTTTTCTTTCATTTGTTATCTCATGTTCTTTATCACATACTCCTCTTACACTGCAAGTCTTAATCTTTTACCTGTGATGGTTGTCACCAGATGAGCCAGTATTGACCTCTTTTGCCTGTCATGGCATTGATCAATTGAGCTTTCACATGAAGCTTTTTAATAAGACAAAGAGTAGGGTAGGCATCTGAACTCCTTAGCAGAAGAACTGTAAAGGAACAATGATCTCTGAGCTCAGATTAATAGGATGATTAGGGAAAAGGTTGAAGTGAGAATACCAAAATTGCAGCAAGTAACTCTGCTTTCACATGTGGGATCTATTTATAGACAATTCAAAACTGTTAGATTGTGGCTTCCCTCCTCTTGTAGTTTCAGTAACAGGGAGGGCACCATTCTCTCTCTCTTTCTCTCTCCCTTACAATAATTTTATTAAGATTTTTAAAAGAACAATAAAAGATAATACAAAGTAAAAGAAATAAGAAAAAAAATTACACCATTTCAAAGATAACCACCCCAAATAACCTATCCCACTCAAATAAACATTTCCATATCTCAGTTCTAAACTATTCACAAATATAAAGTAACCCCAGTATCCTAATACAAAAAAGACTAAGATTTAACCTAACAAAAAGAGCTAATTTCTCCTTAAAAAATTCACACAATTAGATACTAATTATTTAGATGCTAAACAATTAGGTTACAGAAAATAGCTATAAAGTAAAAAATTTAAACACCAAATAAGCAAATCCAGTATACCACATTTTTCCAGTCAAAATATCAGTAAATCTAAAAAGAATCACTCAGAGTAACAACATATCCAATTTTAAGCTATTTATTTATTTATTTATTTATTTATTTAAACACCAAATAAGCAAATCCAGTATACCACATTTTTCCAGTCAAAATATCAGTAAATCTAAAAAGAATCACTCAGAGTAACAACATATCCAATTTTAAGCTATTTATTTATTTATTTATTTATTTATTTATTTATTTATTTATATTCCTTTTTTTATGCAGAACAATCTTTTTCTGTGATCCTTATTATGAATTTCTTCCATTCTTTAAGCAGTCTCTTGTAAATCCAATGAAAAAGAATTATTCCCATTACTCTCTGGGATTGTCTTTTTTATTTCCTTCTTAATTTTTAAAACCTCATTCAGTTTTCTCTTCGCATCTGGTGGTAGGTTCTTATCCAAGATTACATTCATGCTATTCTCAAATGGAATTTGTTGTATATATATGTATTTGTGTTCCCCAAAAAAACACAACATAGCTGCCATAATTGATTCAAGTCTCAATGCAGTCCTCGGTGGAGTTCCTCGAAAATGTCTCTATAATTTATTTCCACAATCATGCATTTATTCTTTAAAAATAATTTCAAAGTCTTAATATTCAAAGTTCAACCAATATTTTCTCAGCCCTTAATCTTTTTAAAACTTTCTGTAGCCAAAACCTTGTCTTGCTTTTTGCTGTTTATTTTAAACTCTTAAAAATTATAAAAAATAAATCTTCATTTTCTTGTATTAAGGTTTGAAGGTACTCACTCATCAGGTGTTTTCAGCCTTTTCCCTTTGAACAAGGGGCGTTTAACTTCATTAAAGCTGTTAGTAAGCAATTTCCGAAGGAAGTTGGCAAGGGAAGTGCATGAATTTAGTGTCCTTTGAAAGGCTCTGTTTGCGGCTAGAGCAAATATGGCAAATTCCCCCATCCCCAGGTTCCTCTCCCCCCAGCCCCCGAGATCACTGTCTTGTGGTCTTTTTGTGAGGAAAAGGAACAACCATAAGAAGAAACAGCTTGGGCAATCTTGTGTCTCTCTCTTTTGTCTAGAGGGGATCAAAGAAACCAATCTGCTAAGTGGCTCCTTAAAAAAGCTTTTTTCACAGAGCTGTCTTCATTCATCCATCTTCCTTGGAAGTCCGGCACCAGTCTCTTTTGTGAAGGTGGACCAATATGTCCTTGGGTTGTGCTTATATAATAGTGCCTTCATTATTAGTGTGAGAATCCTTACTTACAGCTTTATTCATACCCATGTCACATACCTTCCTAAATGTAATAATAAGATAACAGTCAGTTTGGGCACATTTTGGCCAGTATGTCATTAGGGCAACTGAAGCCTAGTTTTACTCTAAATACGCTAAGATTACTAGACACTACTGTTGCCCACTAGATGCTACTGTTGCCGAACAAGGAGGTATGTACAATGTACTGATAGATATTAAACTCTTGTTTTCCAGAGTCGAGCAGATGTTTATGTTGGAATTTTTCCAGATTTTACCTCTGTTAAAACATTATCTCACTGGGGACAGGTAGAGTGTAATTTATGTTTTCACTGCAAGACAGAATCAATATTGTATTTGGCTAAATGCTTTGTTCAGTACACAAGACAGTATTTTTCTATCTGCTTTTAAAAATATTTTCCCTCCCTCCTGAATTTTTAAGAACTAATCACTGGGTTCCAATTCTTTATTCATTTACATATGAGTGGGCTCCATTAAATGAACGAGCACCTACTACTCACATAGAATATGCAGGACGATTCTGCAAATGCTTCTAAAATGCTGAATTGCATTAGTATCTGAACAGGAAGTGTCAGAAATTTTAAATGAGTACATTCTTATTCCTGACTTAACCCATATTCAGGAATTTGCATAAGTGGGGTGGTACTGAGTATATCAACCCTTTCTTATCTCTTCTAATTGAATGAGTATATCTGCTAATCTAACGCTTTGCACAATCAAGAATCCTGATCAGGCACAAGATCATAGCCAAGTATCTATGGGTTTTGAACAAGTGGAAGAAACAAGTTATTAGAAGTCAATGATGTTCTAGTACATCTAGATCTTCAGCTGGGTGTAATTGACTTCATTCATTCCCTTGATATTTTCCTGCAAAGAAATTGATCCTGAGCTTAGAAAGAGAAAGGGCAGAGAGAACAAATATATATATAAACAGAAATAAAATTCACATGCAATACCAAGTTTCCCTGATTCCCATCAGTCAATAGATCAGAGGGAAAAGTGATGCATACATACCTATTCATATGATGATGCAGGCATACATAAATAAGTCATAGGTCTTGAGTTTCTTCCTGCCCCTCTGCTATCTACTATCTACAAAGAAAACAATAGTCTTACTGAGAAGAAGAAACAAATCAAAAGGAAGGGACAATTCAGGGTGCCAAATGCCAAGAAGAACACATCATCCTTCAAGACAGATAGTTTGCTATGGGAATATTCTGATAAGGTTTTTACAACCAGACTAGTTCACATCAGCTCCAAGGCTGCTACACATACCTTTATGTATCAATTTTGTTTAGGTGCTCCCATTCATCTGAAGACTCTGAAAACTTATTTTCCTCACCTAAAAACACATTGTCCTCACAATATCATATTACTTCTACTGCTTGTATGTATCTATGTATGTGGGTATGTATGTATGTATACTGTATATGTATATATGTATATATGTATGTATGTATACATGTGTGTGTATGTATATATATATATATATATATGTGTATGTATATACATGTGTGTATATATATATATATATATATATATATATATA